CTGCGCCGAACCGTTGGAAGTCGATTCGAATAGTCGATGCCGGGGCCTGTCCCTGAATTGTATTAAGCAGCGCGTCTACTTCAATGCATATCCCAAATAAAGCTGATTAGCAGATGTCTTGTACATATATGATGCACTTCGGGGTTTTGGTGCAATGGCATGTGAGAACTCCTTTTCCGTGGGGTAAATCAACAGAGCCCACCGAGCACCGAGAGAGTGACTTACTTACTTCGTCCTCCGTTTCCTGCGCCTATTGAACAATAACATCCGCTTACCGCCTACATTGTGAAGCAATTTCGAGCACACCCAGGCACAATGGCTTNATTGAACAATAACATCCGCTTACCGCCTACATTGTGAAGCAATTTCGAGCACACCCAGGCACAATGGCTTCCGCCTACGGGTTTTTCCGTCGTGGGATCTTCACTACAGACCATACGGATAATGAAAATGATGGCATGCAACGTATTAGGAAGATGAAGACAGGTGATATACAAGCTCAATTTGTTCACTTTGCTCCCAAAACTGCAACTGTTGGCCACCCCACTGATTTCTCTGGCTGGGGAATGCCGAGTTGCTCCCGCCGACAATGACCGCAAGAGACCATACACAAACCCCGGACCTCCAACAGTCTTCGGACATTTTATTTTCGCAAACTCCGAACAGCACATTTGAAAGCATTGTCTCCGTTTCGCCATTGTACTCACGCCAGCTCGCCGTTGGAGCTGGCAACACGGTACCGCAACTAGGCCCACATTGGGGAAGCTCTTAGTTTGGTCTGTGAAATCCATTATTTCACTTGTGACGATTGTGGCCTTGTTGGCCTTGTGTCGGACCAGCGAAAAGGGTACTGGATTCCGGAGGAGCAGCGATACGGAACCTTTGGAACCTTTCGGGTACGGAAGATGAGCAGGAGCAGCCCTGCATTGCAGCGTAGTGTCTGGACTTGGAGGGGGATCGTGGCCTCCATCCAGCTGCTTCGATACACAGCGAGGAGTCGAGCGAAGCACACCGTAGGATCGTTGCCATGTTGTATGCTTCTGCAGCGGCTTTTGAACAAGTGTGGCTTCTTGCTTCACAGAGGTTGCATGATGAGTTTCGGTTGCCTCCGACTAAGATTCTTCGGCTTAATAAGTCATGGCCGTCCGCCCCGTATCCACCAGCGGTACATTTCGGCCACACCGTAGTTGAGTGGTATGGACAGGTGTAGGCGCTATAGATGGAGAAACCTTATTGGCGGATGGTTCTGAGGTAGTTTTGGGCGAAGCCGACTACCAACGGCGCACAGAAAAACGGGAGTACCAGTTCTTCAACCGCACGTATCCGCATCGCAGTGACATCCGTCGGAATTGTGTGCAACCGATACAACTGATAGGCCCTCGCCCTATTTCTTTGTTAGCAGAGCACACGCCGGTGAATACGCTACCACTCGTGATGCCTGGCTCGACGACTCTATAGCTGAGACAGGCGAGCATGCCCTCCACCAAGCGGGAGTGGGCTCTGTTTCGCGACACCCAAATGTGGAGCCAGCTTCGCCAGCTCCTACCAGTGCAAATTCTGTGGGAACGCTTATCCATCGTGCATTTTTTCGATCATTGGACCCCTCCCGCAGGCGTCGGCCAGGCGATTGCAATGCCGTCAACTGAGGTGAAAGCAGTGCAACGGCGTTGTCATGCGGACGACGCCCTTGACGCTGCTTTGGGAGCATTAGAGAGCTCAGTTGCTACAGTTGGGCAGGGAATCCTAAACCCTAAACCCTCTCTGAGACTGGGGAAATTTGACTGCTTTTGTGTGGTTGCCAGTGGCAAATCGGGAGGATGTCCCCAGAAGTTTCAACTATGAGTTCGCACCGTCGTCTAAGTCAAATATTTCTGGTCCAATCGGTTTATTCACGGCAATGCGCATTTTGTCTTCCAAGGCTTCTCTGACGGTTCAAGACGCGGAGGCGGTCTTGACGGAAGCTGAACTATTGGTCGACAACGCTTCACACCAGCTCAGAAGGCCACCTAGCAACTGGACAGCTGCCTACCTGGTTATGAAGTTGTCGTCTTTGTTCATGGTACTTGACTGCGTGGTTTGCACAACTGAGGTCCTCGGGGACAAGATGAATGCCGGCAGATTGTGGGGTGAGTTTGCGCAGAAGTTCCGTGCGGATTATTTCCTTCCTGGCACAGGGAGGAAGCTAAGGCAACGAGCGTTGAAAAGGCTGGTCAATCGACTGAGTTATGCATTGTCAATATATAAGGAAGCAAGGCGCCCGGCGCTTCAGGAAATAATTGAGCTGAAGGGGGCCATTATTACCTTGCCGTACAAAGCCAGCCAAGATTGTCGCACCCACTGTGGCAGCTCTGGGTGGAGGATGACAAGGAATTCTCGTGAGCTGGCGATGACATGGGACACCATCCTGACTTTCAAGCGCCCGGCAAACGAGAAACTGACANAAACGGATTTGACTGCGTGATGCACTGGTCTTGAACTTGTCTGGGTGCAAAGAGTTTTCCGGATGGGCTACCAAAGATGATTGGAGCTGTGTACTCGCGCTATTCCGTTTGTTTATCTAGCTCATCTGCAGCTGCTGCTGATGTTCGCCGCGCTTGGCGCTGCTTCAGAATGTGCCTTCGGCCTTCGGACTTTTTCTTGCAAGGCGGGATACCTGCAGGTTGCATAAGGTTTGTTGTCAATTAAGCCTCCCGGCAGGGACAACCGCGGTGCTCCCTGCAAGGCGACTGGAATTGGCACCCAGTGTGGACTAGTATGGAGGCAATGCCGGTATTCATTTCTCGAGCAGTACCTGGCAATGAAGAGTATTTGCGTGCCTTGGCTCAGACCGGCATTGCCTCTATACTAGTCCACGCTGGGTGTCAGTTCCAGTCGCTCTGCAGGGAGCACCGCAGATGTGCTTAATTTATGGTAAGAGTGTTTCTGATATTTCTTTCTGCTGATGACGCAGTAGCTAAGCCGCATCTTTAACCACTGCATCGAGAAGGGAGGGTTGTGGTTTCTTGCTCTACGGCAATTGGGGAGGTCCTGCCTAAGAAGCACTACTCTGCGGAACCCTAAGGTTGAATATTGCTACACGTGAAGTGCATGGAGACTTATTTTCAGGCCGCGTTGTTTAGGCTTCCAAGAGAAATCCCTACAAAGCCGTTGATCCGCCGCGCAGTGCATGGAGTGGGGATGTACTGGAAGACAAGGGCAGGTAAGTGAGAATTGTAGCATGGCCTCGCTGATGTGGGAACGTTTTTTTGCGCCGCAGGACTGGGATCCAGGGAAGTATTTAGGGTTTAGGGGCAACCCAAAAGTACAAATGGAAACTGAACGAACAGGGAACAGCAGTTTAAAGTTGCCTACCTTTACGATTGTGGCTGCTCTGTTGCTGCTTGTCCTCAACAGCATACAATCGCGGTACCTGCTCGCTGAACGGTCAGCAGTCGGTGCGAAAGTCGAAGCGGGGTGTGTTAGTGAGTTAGCCCTAACAGGTATTAGTTGTGTTATACTTTCAATGTAAGGNGTCTCGCGGCTCGTTTAGCAGGAGCTATACAAGATAATGTTTGCCGACCACGGCCAGACGCCTTGGCGACGCGAGGCAGACTACGGAATCTTCCCAGGATGCCCTGTGGATGGGCATCCGGCCGTGAGTCCAGAACTTTGTTTCTCAGTGTTTATTGGTACATCGGTTGAATATACTCTAATATTTATATTCTTTCTTCAGTTATAGGTTCAGTTCATACGGCCGACTACTCGGCAGGTTAATTCTGGTCACCCGCATTGGTGACGCCTGTATAATTATTATCCCCATGTTATCGGATATTCTCATCGGGTTAAATGGAATAAACAGGTCATTAACTATTTCAGTTGATAGTTATATAATAAAACATATGGGCACATGTATATATTTACTTCGCATGGATTGCTCGCTCTCCAGCAAACCTGCGAGGGCCTCGTTCAACGCGAGGGCGTTACAGTGGGGACTGTCCCTGAATTGTATCAAGAGAAGCCGCTGCTTCAATGCATTTTCCAAATACAGCTCACTAGCAGATACCTTTTGCAAAAATGTTGCGGTTACGAGTTTTGGCGCAATTGCATGTGGGAAACGAATGCATGAGGTAAATCAGCTGGACTGCCGAGCGCTCGTAACACAAGCGGAAAGTGACTTCTCGACTCCGCCATACATTTTCCGT